TGGTGGAGGAGAGCACACCCAGAGGTACACGTGTCATTACATTTCATGCTCCCCGTAAAGTTCTGCTTGAAGGTCACAAGAACATACACAGGGCTGGGGGCTCTCTTCCATGTGACGGCATTGTGTGCACAAGTACCAGCACCGCCGTATAGGAGGGAGTCACGTGCTGCCCAGTTCCTCAAAGGATCGGCTGCTAGCTCTGTTTGGCTGAGAATTTTGCAACCGGCTCCTTTGATCAGCTGATGAAGGGATACCAGGAGGAAGGGTGATGACAGTGGCATCCACAGTATGAGTTTCAGGCCAATTCATCAGGAACCAGACAAAATCCGAACCGTGTGTACCCGACTTAAGTCACTACTGCCTCTGACTGTCAGCGTCAGGAGATTTGGTGATGTCACCACTATTCCGGGTCACTGTTCTCCTTCCTGGAGGGGAAGCGGTACCTGGGGAACTGCAGTGCAAGGATCTCCCTGCTTCTGCTTCACCCATTCTGGGGATCTGAGCTTCCTCCACTTCTTCTGCCGCAGACCGGAGTCAGGTGGTACAGCACTGCTTGCTCTCTGTCATCAGGTGCTGCAGCTCTGCTGGTGTTGTGCTGGGTGGAGGGATCTCATTGTAAAATAAAAGGTCACATGGATGAGCTCCATTGCTGCTTCCTTTAGTACAAAGCACATTTGCTGTCCATATATGAGAAGCATAGTAAAGCTGAAGTTTAGCAGTGGGCTGGATCATGGGAGGAGTTATGCAAATACCAAAATGCCTTAATGGGTGGATTTCATTCTGGAGGGAGGAGTGGAGGTTGCTTGCTAGGCAGACTACATTTGCATGCAGACCACTCCGGGTAACATCCATATGTGATGCTGCTGAGCCTCCATGACTGAAAGAACTGAAATCCAAGGAATGAAGGGGCGGGGCCAGGGACAGTCAGGCTGGGGAGGACAGAGCTTGATGATGCTGGACGTCCTCCAGCCAGGAAATGAGATGGGCTCGCTCTGACTTGCTGCAGCTTCTAATGTACTTTGCATAATGCCAGCAGAGAGGAGGAGGAGGAGGGAGAGAACTGCGGCTTGGGGCACGACTACTATAAGAGGAGCACACTAAGCACCAATGTACATCTCTAGCACCCAATGGCCACCAACGTACCCTTCTGGCCACCAACGTACCCCATCAGCCCCAATGACCACCAATGTACTGTGTTAGCCACCATTGACCTGCATTGTACCCCTCCAGCTCCCACTAATCACCAATGTAACCCATTAGTCCCCAGTGACCACCAAAGTACCTGTCCAGCTCCCGCTGACCACCAATGTGATCACTGCACTATGAGGTTGGTCTAAGTACAATAAGTTAGGGTCAATGGCTAGTTTCACCCAGTGGGAGGAGAGGACTTCTCTTGGGCTTGGAAAGCCTTTCTCTCATGGTGGTTCTTTTGTAACAGGCAACTCCAAATCACCTGTGGCAGTCAGGGCTGCCAGCACTCAAGTAAGGGGCCCCAGCAGCTTGCGGGGCCCGGGCTCCAACTAAGGAGTTTATGCTATAAAATATTATGTACGGTCCCTCCCCCCCTTCCCTGTACAATTGGTACCTACCTGTACGTGCAGAAAGGTTTTCAGGGGGCGGAGCTTATGTTTTAGCCGACCGAAGCACTGAAGAAAGGTAGGAGCAGAGCTGCTGTAGTAGAAAGGTAAGTGTTTTAGAAGCTTCCTGGGGGGTTGTTGGAGATACAGCAGCACCACGCCCAATGCTGGGGGGGGGGAGAAACATTTGCAGATGACAGCAGCCGGTGGCCAAGGTAGAATAGGGGCCCAACGCTGGGGTGAAGGGAGGGGTGAGCCTTTGTTTGCAGAGGTCAGACTGGTGTCTGAGGCTGACTGGTGGCCCGACGCAGGGGGAGGGGTAGCGCAGAGGACAGCAGTCGTGCCAACACTATATTTTTTACATTTATTTTCACTTTTTTATATTTTTTATTTTAACTTTTTTAATTTGTATTTATCTTATCGTTTTCATTTTTAGAATGTGTTATCTTATTATTGTTTATTTTTTATAATTATTTTCTTCTTATTATTTTTTTTAATTCTTATTATTTTATACTTTTTAATCACCTTTTTATTTACTGTGACAAGTGAGAGAGGAAGAGCACAGCACAGCGCGGCACGGCACAGCACGGCACAGCTCTCCCCTCTCACTGTCTACACGGAGCGGCAGGGGTACTTCTAACTGCATCGGTGGCCAGGCAGTGAGGAGAGACTCGGCAGCGGAGCCCGGAAGACGGAGCCAGCATGGAGAGAGGTAAGTGCAGATGGGGGGCAAACAAACAAGCGCCGGCTTCCTCACGCTACATTTAGCCCTGCTTTCCCAAAGCACGGCTAAACGTAGAAAGCAACTTACCGATCTCTGCAGCTGCGGATCAGGAAAATGTCTCAGTACCTGTGACTGGCGCTGCGGCGCTGTCAGCTTCCTGGCGGGCTCGGCACGTGGAGCTGCAAACACGCCCGAGCCCATCCTTACTGGACACATGGCTGGGCCCTACAGTAACACAGACAGGAAATGACATCACAACCATGTAGTTCCACTAGGAGGAACATTATATCATGCATGGATTAAACGTGACACACGCTACCCCCTAGTGGCAGAACCATTAATCACAGCGTGATCTATGAGAATGGCTGTTGCACCTCTGTCTCCATAAACAGCACGGTAACACTTTGTATCAAATGATTCTTTGAAAGAATTACATTGTTTACTTTCTACATCCTCATGTCATTGTTTTGGAGAGAAACCATTTGTACTCTGGCAACATGGAAGGTAAATATTGTAAAGCCGTGTCACGATCGAACAATCATTACCACTGTTTCATCGATTGAATGTTTTTCTCTTCCAGCAAACCATCTGTCACAATGAAGCGCGCACTGATTTGCCGCTCGGAACAAAAGCGTAATACCGGAGAGGCTCCAGCAGGTGGCGGTACGGTTCCT